GGCTCCTACTATCAGCTGACTCGACTTGCCTTATGCGATTCTTGCCGTTCTGTCCGTTCAAGGCCGGTGTTGTACCCTCACCTCGAGGAAGGTCCTCTACTGCTTGGTGAAATGATCTAGAGCTGCAGTGACGTGCTCTTTCTCTGCTCAAACTGCACGCGAATGGGGCTGTAGGCAGTGGTACCCGCGTGCCATCTCAATGCTCCGTCCAGGCTCAATGTACATCTCTTGCGCCGATACCAAGGCCAGAGCGAAACACGTTGTCAGCGAAAGAGAGCAACCGAAGTGAGAAAGCGCAGACAAGTAGCGCGCTTGGCTTTGGTCAGGGTGTGGCCGGCTCTGCGTTAGCGCGGGCGTGGTGTGGTGGCGGGTGCAGCTTGGTGCTATCCTCCAGCCTCGTTTCCGTGCACTTCTGACCGGAAAAGGTGGTACGGTACTGCACTACCACTACCATAAACATGGCCAGGACCAAGGCACACTGGTGAGTGTAGAGTTAAACTTTAAAGGATGCGTTGTTGGACAATGCCCTTCTTGTGGTGCGCCTCACACTGGCAAGACTCAAAAGAGAATCATGGTGGCTTTGACGCCGACTTGGCCTACTGAATAAGTTGCGGAGCTCAGCCGATATACAGGTCAGTGTCTTGCACTCGAAGATCGAGCTCATACTAATTAAACAACCCTGGAACAACGGGAGGCCTGGGTGGACACGGAAGTGTTTCCGCGGACCAAACCCGTGGTAAGCAGCGCCACTCGCTACACCCCCCCCCTCCTCTTAGGGCCGTACTTTGAGAACACGTCACTGAACGCGATCTGACCATTTCAATATAGTACCTGCGGAAAGACGGGGGTCGTTTAGGGCTATGGAGCGATTGGGAATCCAAGTTTACGGCGATTCTAGAGATTTCAATCCTCTGAAGGTTACGAGGGCAAAAGGGGAGTCATGGTCGGAAAATCTCCGAGGTTAATCGTTCAGATCGTCTACTCATTAGAATGACAATTCTGAATGGGAGTGGACTGGAATGCGTGGCGCATCCCGCAAAGGGATGGACCAAAGTCACCCACATCATTTATTAATTTATTTTATCTACATCAAGACGTTCGGCAAAATCGTTTCAAGGAGATGAAACTCACTGGCGAATCAGAGTATGTGACAAGAGAATCGTGATTCGCCGCGCTGTGGGCGTCGCGTGCGACGTCGCGCCGCAATGACGATGGTTCCAGGTAGTAGATGGCGACAACAGGCAATTCAGAACCGAAAATAGTCATGAATGTCTACGATGACGGGGTCTACATGAAGTCCGGTGCTCCAATCGACAGGTTAACACGAGTTAAGAAAACGCCGCCCATCGCCGCGCGCGGCGGAGCGGCAAATTACGATTCTCTTGCCCGTCTCCCGGCGAATCACGGGAGCTTGAAAGAAAATTTTTTCGAGCCTCACCTTATAGGAGCGCAAACTGGATTAGCCTCACCTTATAGGAGCAAATGGATTCATGGTAGCGGCGGCAAAATGTTGAGGACTGGCACAAAGTACATTATCAGGAGGATAAAGCGTCTCACGGTCGGCACGAGTCTAAAATATGAAGGCTTTAGAGAAGATATCAATGGTAAAAGTCTTCTGAACCTTTCTACTATTTGAACATTCTCTTATCGATGCTATAGAACTCCTAGGTGTTCCCTACGAAGGGAAAGCCAAAACTACATAAGAATAATGGAAAATAAGAAATCTCTCGAGACAAAAACTTCGTGTGGTGAATTCTTTCAAATATTTAAATTTGAATTTAAATTCAAGTATACACGGGGCATCACAAAAGACAATTTTTTCCTCGACTTTCAAAGCGAAATAAGTTACACTTTATTAAATTCTGATTGGACATTTCCACCATCAAATTCAACAACACATTGTACACTATCACGAAACTCCGCCACAGCCTTCTGGACGAACGCCATCGAGAGATTCTGCCACGCGACCGTGATTCGGTGCCTGAGTTCAGCGAGGTCGTTGATTTCTCCGCCACTGTAGACCACCCTGTTGAGCTCCGCCCGAACCCGGTAATCGAGGGGGTTTAGGTCAGGTGACACACTTGGATATTCCGTCTTCTTCAGGTACTCAACGCCCTTCGATTCCAAGTAGGCGAGAGTTTTTCGATTCCATGTGCTGGCACCCAATCCTGTAGCAGTACGAAGTTTCCAAGATGGTACAGGCG